CGAAAAGTGAGGCAGTGAAGGGCAAGCAGCATTCCGTTCCTTCAATGGTAAATGCATTGTTCCTCAACATGGTACGGGTGTAATGAGGGGGGGGAGGCGGGAAGAGGGTGGGTGAGGACTACCCAGCCGCGCCTCTGTGACTCTTCTCCAAAAAAGCTCGACTTATAGCGCAGACGACCAAAGTCGCCAATGGATAGCCCCGCTAAGGAGAGGTTGCCTTCATTGGGCCTAAGTCTAGATTAAGGGAAGGGATACGCAGGCGCTAGCGAGTGGTCCCCTCTTAACTACATACGTCAGCGCCTCTATGCTGGCTATTTGAAGGTGCTTTTCGCGATAAAGTAAGGCTACATCCTTTCAAAAAAGTCAGATGATTCGGAAGGCGATTCCGAAGGGTGCACCATCTTCAAAAAGCGGAAGTTGGCAAGAACATCGTTGGGAGCTGACCAATTAGGCTATGGGCACCCCTTAGGCCCATGCCGACCCCCACTGACTGCTAGCTAGTAGCCACTATGCTATCTCTCTCCATTCCGAATGGTGAGAGTGAGGTGATAAGATAAAAGAGCTGATATCTTTATGATAACGACGAGTGGAAATCCGTACAAACACGCTTTCTCTTCACTGCATGCACGTACAAGTTGGGGTCGTCATTTTTTCTGCTTCTTTTCTCCACTAATCGGTCACCTAGCACACTATCGTTCGTATTTGAGTTCATACCAGCAATCTGTGGTCGCGGCCTTAAGTGGCCCGAAATCGAAATGAACACCGTGCCGAAAATGAAAAGATTAAACAGCGTGCCAGGTGGCTCAATTCCTGGTCGCGCTAAAGGTGCTAGAAATTTTTACAATGGGAGGGTTTTGGAACAGCGGCTCTTCCGTCCACTTAGCTCCAAGGTTGTTTGTGTTCTCAGTGGCTTCCTCAGACTGCATAAGTTTAAGCAGTAACAACCCTACTCGTTAGGCTCAAAACCCGTCCCAGCTAGGGCACATCCTGCCGTGGGGGAAAATTTTCCTCTAAAATACGATCTCCCAAAAGTTCCTTTTCTGGTACGGCCCTCGTCATCCTTCTAATAGCATCGCTCTCAAATTTTCAACTTAGTACCCCAGTTTTTTTCCGCGGAATGTGCATACGCTTTCCCGAATACTTTCGTCGAGCGGGAGAAGGGAAGACGGTGGGAAGGTGAGAGAGGGTGGGAGGAGGGGGAGAGGGGCGAGGAGGTGGGGGGTAAGGTAGTAAGGAGCGCACTTGAAACAGGAAAAATGAGAAAAGTCATCAGCGACCGGAAACCTTCGTCAAATGCATTTACGTGCTCTCTCCCTCCAGAGAACAAATACGACCCTTAGCTAGGAATCTCCAACGTACAAGTGGCCTAATCAAATCCCAACTCCGTGATTGAGTGTAATTAGAAATTCATAGAAACTGAAAACTTGAAAGCATTCCAAGGTTTTACTGCAAGTCTTGAGTGTTCAACCTTTTCAATGATCGAACATCGTTAAAACTGTCTCCCATAGATGCGAAGATGTTGAAGTTCGAAGGTAAGGTGGATCACGTGGTGTCCCGCAAACCACTCCGCTCTGGCCTAACACCATCGCCAACAGGTTTTCGTAGAACATTAAGTGAACGCCGCAGCGTTGACCCAGTAGCCAAAGTTCTCCAAAAACTATGGTCGAACCAGACATCGAACAACTGCAGAAGCTGAGCGTAGGGAACGAATCTACGAAATTTCTTCCTTTTTTCACTTTGCACTCTCTACCTGACCACCCCTTAGCAAGCATTTCATCAAAAAGACCACTGTTCGCTCTGATCACAGGGTACAGCATCGCGATGTGAGAAATGGTACTGTCAGTACGACCCACCTCCCCCCTCACTTTGGAAGAGGGTCCTCGGTAGTGACTCTCGCGTGTGTGGCGCTTCTGTTCTCGGTAAGATCCCCCGCTCTGTACGACCTCCTTTCCCAACACCTACCCAGCACTTTCCTACATGTTCTCAGCTTCCTACCAGTTTTCTCCAAAATTTCCCGAAAACTTCCTACTTCCTCCCCAAAAATTTGGGAATCCTGAGGATCGTAGCCGATAGAATGGTGCCTTAGCGCGATACAGGGGGGGGGGGGGGGGGGAGAAAGGAGGTTGTTAGAAACCAACCACTATTTTCACTTAATAGTAGTTAAGGTAGTTAAATAGTCAAAGGCAAAGCCCGCGATAAGAGATGGTAGGACCGTTTTTAGTTTTGCGATAATATACAGGGGGGCCAAAAAAAAAGTCATTCCGGCCGAGTCACATATGAGCGAAGTTTTCGCAGCCCAGACAGAGGAAGTGGATATGAGTACCAGGGCGGAAGATACCCAAGATCTTCCTCTATAAGCAGGAGGCCGCACGTGCCAGCCATTCACCTTCATGTATCACCAAAATAAGGAGAGAGTGCAGTCATGCTCCGAAGTCGCGGCCTGAGTGGAGAACGCTTTGGAATTCACGTGGCCTCCAAACAGCTGCGGAACTTCTTGAATGGAATCACCCATGGATAGCTACCTGGAGACCAGTACTCTTGATCTGCAAGACCTCATCGAGCAGCTCCGGCAACGTCGCTACGGTCCAGGACATCATCTTCACCCCATTCACCAAGGCGCGGGTTGATGGTGTGGACCGGCCGTACCTGGAATGGATGAACCGATATTTTCTTCGTGGGCCCAAACTGAGGATTGTGGCTGGTGGCTCATCCAAGCGACTTCGAACGAATTCCTCCTACATTGTCGCCCGTCCTGCTTGAGATCCCACCTTGTGCTGCTACAGTTTGGGTTGCCACCACATGGAATCAAAGGGTTTTGGAAAAACTCCCGCCTACTTCGAATGGAAGGGCGTTTCGTACCTGAAGAAGATGTAATATTGAAGTATGTCCCCTGACCTGAACCCACTCAATTACCTAGTTCGGGCGGACTTCAAGAGGGTGGTCTACGGTGGCGGAGAAATCGACTACCCGCCCGTGATTAAGGACACATCGCGGTCTGCCGTGCTAAGAAACTCTCAGATGGCGCTCCTTCCAGAAGGCTGTGGCGGAAGTCTCATTATAAGTATATTTAATGTGCTCTTTAATATGGTAGTAAAAATGTCCGATAAAAAATTTAATAAAGTGTAACTTATAGCGCCTTGAAAGCCATGAGGCAAAATGACTTTTCTTCGCGGCCCCCATGTAGTTATGTGGGCAAATTCAAGCGGGCGTCCACCAACTAAGGGGGAGGCACATAAGGACCTACGAGCCCCCTCCCAGCATAGACCAAATACTACCTCCGCGCCCGTGTGTTTCGCACAACGACGCTGCACCCAGTCTGATCAAGCTATATCTTGGAATGTTGCCATTCTAGTCTATTCTGAATCAATAGTACTTATATTTTTTTGACTCGATCTCGCCAATATAAAAAAGTCTTGTAGGTCATGCGAAGGGCGCAGCAAGTTTTCATCGCTCATTGATGGATCGTGATTACCGATGGCAGCGCTTATCCCTGAAAACGGTACTAGGCGTGTTTGAGCATAGCACCCTGGTGAGTTTTGCTCGTGAGATACTTATAATTGAAACGAACTCAACCTTGTTTGTGTTAGATGTAGACATGATTTAGTACTGCTCGAGAAAACGACAATCACAATCATCAATCTCGAACGAAAACTGGCCGCAGCCTTTTTTAGAGCCAAATACGGTCAGCCACGCCTACCCAGTCTCAGGGATTTCGAGGCAATACCTACTCTGAAAGGACGAAAGCTCGTAGGAGCTGGTTTGATATCTAATTCCTTTCAGTGATAAGTGCACGTGATAGTGCACATTTACCACTACTCGACCGCTGGTCCATTGCCAGTATATATACTGTGCAGTTCCATCATCAACGACAGACGGCTGGGCTGAAGGCGACGGTACGACGCGAGCGCAGCAGCGATCGCTGTCGTCTGGCACATGTTGTACATAGTACTTAGTACTCTACTTCCTGCGCGCTCACCACGAGCCGTACTTCGATTTCCGTCACATTTCTCATTGATAGGCTCTGCGCGAAACCAGCTGTTTATGGCTAATTTGAGCCATTTTCTTCATATTACTCTTCGGTACCGCTTTTGCATTTTTTCTTCAAAGTAAGCCAACTTGAAACGTGACTAACCGCTGTGATAATTTCTTCCGACACACAGGTACAATGTTGGGTAACTCTAACAAGTCAAGTGCTTGAATATTGAAGATAATCACTTCAAAACCAAAAGCAACGAAAGGAGTTTGTGAGTCGGTCAGCTCCTATGAATCGGCACAGTGACTTTCTGAGTGACATTCATCCCACTAGGAGATCTTTTTAAACAGCATAGATATCAGAAACAAGATGTGAATGTATTAAAACACTCTCATTACTCGGGTATTAAAGTTCTTCCACTACCCAAACATACAAAACTGACAAAGGTAGTAAGTCATTAAGATTTTAAGCAAAAATCCGATGATGGAACCTCGCCATGCGGCTTAGAGGGGGCATTTTGCTGGCTCTCACCGACCACTACCGATGTCTCCTCTGGGAACCAGTAAATTCCTGTAAACCATGGCAAGACCTTTGTTCCCACTTGACAAATGCCTACAGGCCCTAGCGAGGTGAAACGTGTAATTTAACAGGACAAGCAAAAAAAACCAGCAAAAGTGCCTTCCCCCTAAGCCGAAACATAGTCGACTTCGTCCTTAGAAGCGTACAAGAGAGAAGTGGAAAGAGGGAGGGAGGGCAAAAATTAGTATACACAATCAATAAAACAGGCAAATCATGAATCATAATGTTACCAAGAAAGAAGCACCCAAAACATAACTATATCTGAAAAAATAAAGGATTGTGAACTATTCACCTGTTCTCACGCCACTTCTAACGCTAGGAACCACCCACCTCAATGTTTTCAGCGAACGGCCTTCGCTCTGCGATGAGGGGGTCGTTATGGACAACAATCAACATCTCACCACACCATCGCACTAGAATACCCAGTTTCCAGATCCGTCCAGATTCGTCATATTCCACCCCAACTAGACTTCACACATATCTCCATACAGAATTCTTTACAGAGCATTCCAAATAGAACATGACTTTTCAGAGTAACAAAATAAATTTCACAACAACTTGATATCAAGGTGAAACGTGTTGAGCTCCAATGGATATCAGCGCCAGTACTGGAACGACTGAAAAGAGTTAAATAGTGCAAGATCCGTTGAATGTTGAAAAAATTTCCCCTGCACTGTTTACCCTTTTCCGAGCACACTCTTCGAAGTGCTGACAAATTTCCATCCCCTCAAAGGAGAAGCCCGCGATCAGAGATAGGTAGGGCAAAAGGACTTCGCGATGACGCGCGGCAACGCGCTATAAGGCGCTACAATTGCAACAGCGCTCCAATTCTATGCAGCCGCAGACGGGAATCGATCGTGCCGGCCGCTCCTGCATTGAGAGAAGTTTAGGACAAAAGCCGGCAGCGCGCTGTAGTGTACAGGATAACAAGGGGGACGCCGCGCTTCAGACTTCTTCCAAGGGACTAGCTGACGATGATACATCAATGGGGTCATCAAGCAACGGGTACCCTCCTTTTAACCAGTATAACTCTGCTCAACATGCACACCGGTCGGCGCGTGATCGATTCCCAGGCGCGTGCGTTTCACGTCTGTAGAACTGCACCGTGTGTTCCAACCTTGTAGCGCGCCAAGGCGCGTCATGCGCGAAGAAGAACGCGTCTAAATGGAACTCGTATCGCGCCGACGAAACAGGTCCTAGGGAAACTGTAAGGAAAAAACAGAAAAACCGCTCGAAATGCCAAATGCCCTATAATCCCTGCCGATCCCAGCTTGTATGTAGATATAGTGAATTGTAGTGGATTGGCATACGCTCAAGCGGGGCTCATGGGCTTAGCTATACAGGTTCCACCCAAATTCTTGAACTTCTTGCCATTGTATTTGTGATAGAAGTGCTGTAGTCCTAACCGCTACACTATAATGTGGTCCTACCGATTAATTAGCACATTTGAAGGTGGCCGCAGTTTATCGCGGAACTATGCATGTTGAAGGTAAAAAACGCATGTGCACACTTCTAGTGGTGCAAGTTCATTCTCAAGGTAGTTTAGCATTTCTTAAAGGCAAACTTGCTCGACTTTGCAACCAAACCGATTCCCGATAAGACTCATAAGGATCCTCAAGCTTTCATAGAGTTGAAATATGTGTGAACAGTGCCATTCGGAGCAGTTGGCGCGACGGGGGGGGACGCCAGTTTTCTCTTTGGTGTTTGCCTATTGATCGCTATTGACTGCTTTACATGAGTTTATTAGGTATCTTTTACAAGAGTTTGACAATATTTTCTGCAAACTTCAAAAACCGTAGCCTTTTCACGGCTCACCGAATTTCAACAAATCCACTCGATCGCTCACACGACAATGAAAGCGGGAAAAGTCATTATACCCTCGTGCCGAACTCCGCCCGCTTTTCCTTGACACATCTCACCTAGCCTGCTGCCCTCCTCCAAACAATGAGCTCGTCTTCTGTTGCGTCTGACTAGACATTCCACCTCCGAACAGAGAGCTACCACCGCTAGGAGATACTCCTCCGAAACAGGTTTTTATTACCAGAGAACCTGAAAACTATCACTTTAGACACCAAATATCCACCATTACAACGACAGTATTCATTCATATAATAAGACCTAGATCAAAAGATCGAGCACCCGATCTTAGTACAGTTCTTTTTGGGAACGCCCTGCAAAGTTTCAATCTAGTCTTCCATTTATTATCGGAGTAATTGAATGTGCAATTTTACAGACCACCTCGGCATGTGGACAACGGTCCTTGCCATATACGAGGTGAACAGGTAGGCAGCTGCAGATGGTGCCAGTTTCTCCGTTCAAAAATTCACGGAAACGGGGATTCAGGGTTTAAAGATATTTCGACAGCCGTCTCCATTACTCTGCCGCGTTTATCCCTCAAGGCAGCTTTCGTCGATAATACGAGCCGCAACGAAACACGTCTCAGCCGTAGAGAACAATCAGAAGTGAGAGAGAGTCCAGAGAAGTGGCGCCTTTGGCTATGGTTAGGCGTATGGCCGGCCGTGGCTACAGCGCGGGCCGAGTATGTAGACGGACTAGGGCACCTCTACCATCCAACCTCGTTCCTATGCACTGTGAGCAGAGAAAGTGCCCCGCTGTGAGCCTAATCACCTCTCACATGGCAAGGACCAGGATCCACGAACTGAATTTACAACTTTCCTTCAAGGTGAGGGTGCAAGTTCAGAGGGCCTTCACTTGTCGCTGTCGCGCTTCCCTAAACTCCCTGTCTCCTGTCTGCTTAAGGAATGCAGACGGACTCGGCCTACCAGTACCGCCCATTTTCGACCGAACAGTGCAACCTACTGCAGCTGCGGAACCCATTTTTCGCACACCTGGTAAGGAGCGGGAATCTGAGAGGGTTGTATTTAAAGTGATAGATTACGTTAATGAGTAGCAGCATCCTCATCGATTCATCTGCACCTTCAAGTCGCAATCGAGAATAGTTTTTCCGCCATCTATAGTTTACAACAGCCCTTTTTCGTATTACACTATAACGGATATCTCACATGAATCCTTATTTCTCCTGGCATCCAGCTAAATGGGGTATCGCAGATGGTGCTATTTCTTTTCACGAACACGTGCGCCGGTCGAAAAGGTGTCGAGGGGGGGGGCAGGAGCAGGAAAATGCCAGCGAATACGAACCCCCCCAAATTTGAGCTAGTGTGGATAGCGCCCATGGAACAGGAAAAAATTCAAAAAAACAATCCGCATTCAAGACATGACCCTGTGCACCGAGATTCCCCAGCGTACCAAGTCCCGATCTCCCTGCAAGTGGGGACTCCAGTTTTTTTCCAGACTTCCCCATTCTCATTTTAGACTCGCGATGACGCAAGCAAAGTTGTGAATAAACTTCTACAGTTGACTCTATAAAAAACAAGCTTGTTTGATTTACAACGCAATTTTTCTGGAGAAAAGCTACGCGGAACTCTGACCGTCGTAGTAGAAAGCGAAAGTACAAAATTCTATGGTGCTTGACGGAAGCGTTGCGTGAGGGTCCTGTTCAATACACACACCTTTCGCTTGAAGGCAACGCCAAGCTCGTTGCCACCACTTCTGTCAACTATGGACACGGGCAAGCCACTGAAGGAAATAGTGGCGCCAGTAAGTATGTACGGTGGGACGCCTCTACCTGGTAAGCACCAGATACCGGGTATTGGTCAAATTCTACGACCCCCCGTCTTTTTCTCAAAGGCTGTACGGCCCTCCCCCAAACCCTCAGGTGTTCCTCCTCATTGCGGTGAGGGGTGGTGGGGTAGCTGGGGAAAGGTAATTGCAGCATGTGAACGGAAAACGCGCAGGAAATACGACCCCCCTCTAGGGCATCCCAACAACCGATCTCCACATACGATGTAAGGTCAACTGTGTAGCATGCTTTCGAGTCGATTCCAAACAGTAAAGTTCTTACGCTGAAAATCCTCCACCAGTCGCAGCTCCACCCCCGAAAGCCGTTGAAGCTTGTGTGGGGGATCCGAACACTGGTTTTCCTCCGAACACTGGTGGACCACCAAATTTCGGAGCGGCTCCAAACACCTTGAAAGTCCAACTCTACATTACTACATCGTCTTGATCAATGATATAAAAGAACAAAAAACGTACAGAAGACGTCATTGGCGGAGATGACTGGGCAGCTTTTTGGGCTGCCGACGCAAATGATGACGCTGCGCATTGGAGCCGAACACCTGTACAGACCTATATTCTTTTGAAAGCTCTAGAAAACAAAAAAAAATCAAAATTCCAAAATCAAACTGTACCGATGTCTGGCCTCCTTTGGAGAAAATCGAGGTTGTCTCCTGTTTAGCTCCTGCACTCTTCAACAAATTACTACTTCGCGCAAATGCAAACAACTGTCTTATTTGCATTTGTGCTTGTACCGAGTCCAAATACCACTGCAAATTCACAGATTCTCTCTTTGATTCAAAGACGCTATTTAAAACATTTCAGCGCGATAATAAATTAAGCAAGTTGGTCAAATCTGAAGAAAAAGGTTACGGGGCATTGTCAACCCACACGTGCTCTCGCTGCAAGGGTCCAGGGATATTTCTCGAGGCATCTACCAGTCCAGTAGTTGAAGGGAAGGTAAAGGAGGAGGGATCAGAGAAGGAGGAAGGAAAAGAAGGAAGGAGGAAGAAAAAAGGAAAGAGAAGAGAGGCTTCCCGGTTGACAAGTGCCCTGAGACGGAAGAAAAATGGTAATCACAGTCTTGAGAGATCCAGGCGGATTCCTTTGCAAGAGGTCAGGGGTCAGGAGGTTTGGTCAGACGCAAGTGCGACAAGTGAAGAGCCTTTTCCACCTCTTTGCGAGAGGGCATTGCACCACACTTCACGCAGCCGCACCACCAATAACATTAGCGACAATCGCCCGCCCCATCAATCGTTCTCACTGTCTTAAGGCTGGGCAAAAATGTCCATCTCCGCTACGTAGTTCCAGTTCAAACAAGAAGAAATCTGCATGCCCCCCCGCCTTCTCACCTGATTAAAATCGAAAGAAAAAAAATGTAAAACATGATGTGTTCGAAACAGTTTCCAGGGCTGTACCTCATAAAGCCTCCACCGAATAGGCTGCTAGTTGGTTGGGATGTGCCGCCAGCAGCACCGTCGTCATCCATACCCTCATCAGTATCTACACTGGCAGCTGCTGAGGCTGCTGCAGCTGCGAAACCTGAGTGGAGAAAAAGTTCAAAAGACCTGCTCCATAACATGAGACAATTGAATCTATCGAGATACCAAAAGGCTTTGCACCAAAACTGAATGTGGAGCTCGTTGCAGCCGGTTGGCTTTCCGTCGTAGTCTTCGGCTTGAACGAGAACGTCACAGTGGTAGGCGGACTCGATGTAGTTACGGCTCCAGCTTCAACGGAAACTGATTTACATAAAACTAAGCACAATGAGAAAAATAAGCAAAAATGAGCTTGAAATTATGTACAAACATGGCTCTCAAATTTCAACCTGGTTCAAGCGGCTGTGCCCTCCAAAGCACAATGCAGCCCGAAAGCGCTGTTTTGTCAGTGGTTTCGCAGAGCTGTAAGAGATCTTAGAACTCTCTCGTTGTCCACAAGCATATAGCGTAAAGTAAAATAAATAGAGCTCATACGTAGATGCAATCAAGCAGCGCCACTCCAATTAAAATTTCTTGACAGGAAACGCACGCATTCTCTTAATTCAAAGTGCGGTGGCGTTTCTTAGCCATCAAAATGCGCGCGGCCAACTTCACCCTCCTTTGATCTACGAACGATTTGGATTTGTGCTTCAGAAATTCCCCCCTCCCCCACTAGCCAAGTGCAGCTGCTCTGTCCCCAAATACAAATATAGCATCCGGCCCTTAGCACGGACCCCTGGCGCTCCCCTCGGTGAACACATTGCGGCCATACACCTGCTTGGTAGCCCGCGGCACGCGTAGCTCCTCCAGGCCTCTCCACGTCGAGCAACTGCTACCAGGGCATCTCAGGGAAACACAATAGTACAAAGCAGCACCTCTTTCTGACTGCCTACCATGTGATCCTCTTCTTCTCTCCCAGGGGTAGTCGCCAAACTGATACATGGGAACTTTTGAATGCGAGACGCCGCATTAGATAGACAGTAGTCGCTATAAGGTTATTTACAAATATAGATAGCAAAACTGCAACCTGCATTTCACAAGCAACTTATGAGCAGGTAAAGTTTATAATGGTGCAGTAGGGTGGACAGGTGTGCTGCAGCTGATGAAGCATAAGCGGAGGAATCGCATGCGTCCGATCGAGTCGCGGTGGTTCAGTGGTAAGATTCGACGTTCGACGACCCTATTCGACGGATGCGATTCCTTCGCCTATTGCTCACAGCTCACCCCAACCTCCACCCCTCCTGCTCACCATTACAAACCTCTTACCTGCTCATAAGCTTGCTGCGCCATTGAAATAGCAGTTGCAAGTTTGCTATCTATATTTGTAAATAACCTTATAGATTCTATCGACCTACCCAGGTCTCCATTCGAAGTTCTATGGTAAGTTGGCGGACTTCCCTAATCAGCCCTAGCAGAGGAAGAGATTACTACCTCGGTAGAAGCATGCAGACCACCAAAAGCAGCATGCCAGCTGCAGAATGTGTACCTTTCTTCCCCCTATTCTCAACCCTTTCCTTGGCACTCATGTGGCCTGTGGACATTCAGTTCACGGCTGGTCAAGCTATCCCTGCTTGTCACAAGTTTATCGTTCCAATGGTTAAGCCGAGTTCAGGTATTTTAGCGCTGGCAACTGTGGCGCAAGCACCAGACGTTTTTGTGCCATATGCGTGCTAACGAGGTCAAACTGGCCCTGAGGGCTAACTTCCAGACTAGTCGAAGTTCTGATCCGACAGCTGGAGCAGCAAAGGGTTAATAGCTTTGGAAACTGGTAACAACCTTGTTCAGATTTCACTTCGGCTTGGCCTGTTGCTGCAGACGTCGCGAAAATGCTTCCACCACCTGAATTTTGAAATTGAACGGATAAAAAAACAAGAATTCCAAGGCAGCAGGGTAACCAAATATGAACAGACTCACTAGTTTTACTAGTATCTTGTGCGACTGCGGACTCTGAAGGCTTCGATGACTGCTCGGAATCTGAAGCCTTGATGGAGTCCTTGGCAAAAATTGACTTCGGTGTGGTTTGTGCTGAAGCTCATTACTCAGAACTAGTGCGCGTAGACGATTATAAAAAAACATGCTCTTCGAACTTAACAACTCACTCAATCCTCCAAATATTGAGGGCGGTTTTTCTTCCTTTTTCTCTATAGCTGTGGAGAGAGAACCTCCTAAAAAACGCAACTTTAAGCAAGGAACGTGGCCATACCAAAATATGAAATCACACTGGCCTCCAAAGATAGAAGGTGGCTTCTCCTCCTTCTTCTCAGCCGCTGCAAATACAGAACCTCCTGAAAACTCTAACCTCTGACAGGAATTGAGAAAGACTGCGCTGAATCTAAAATATAGGTGAAATCTCACCTCCAAAGATAGAAGGTTGCTTCTCATCCTTCTTTTCTGTGTTAGCAGCTGTAATACCTCCTAAAGATAAGAATGCAATTTCCAAGCACAATGTTCACAGGGTGTCATCATTGCTCACCTCCAAACAACGAGGACGTCTTTTCTTCTTTCTTTTCGCTACTGGTACCTAAAAGGTGATCTTGCAAGAAGTAAGCGACAGTGGAAAAATCGCTAGACTAAAGAACCGCTCTAGTACTTTATTTATGTGGAAAAACCACGAACTGTTTGAATGTGCGACAAGGGAGGGGGTCAAGACAATCGTAATTTACCGCTCCGTTGCGCGCGGTGTTTTCGCAGTTTGCATTAGCCTGTCGACTGAAACAGAAATTCACGTGATTTACAACATCGTAGATATTCATGGCCGTTTTTGATTATACACTGTTTATTGTCGCCATCCGCGACTAGAAACATCATGCGGGCGCGACCTCACACGCGAAGCAGACGCGCCGGAAAAATTACGATTGTTTGCCCAGGAGTGGGTGGGGATCCAGCTACATCGTCTACTAGCGAGCTTCTACAGTCTTCTTCTCTGCGGATAAAGGGGCATGTCGGCCGCGATGGTTTGGGCGCGCAACCCACTCTCTACAGCTGTTCGAGCAGGCAAGCGGCATTAGTTGGTGGAAAACGACTGAAATAGTTAGCGGGAAAAGGCTGAAACGAATATTATACAGCCATGACACTTGAAAAAATAGAACAAAAGAAAAGAAACTGGCGCCGCGCTCGTCAAACCTATCCACGCCCTCGCGCCCATCAACAGCGAACAGACTGGAGCTCGCTTATTCCTCCAAACCGTACTGGCGGAGTTATCGATATTACTATATTATCCCTATGATCGCGGTTCTCCTGTAACTGCTGCATACTCGGAATTCCCATTTTACAAAAGTATGAATGCGGACCAAAGTGCACTAGGAGGACCTACCTAGTCCTCCAAATAAAGATGTTGGTTTCTCGTCTTTCTTCTCGGAAGTGGTAGTTCCTGAAGCTCCTGAAAACATTCAGAAGTCCTACTACGCGAACGCCATTCTGTAGCTCTGATCGCGTGGTCAGCGTGACCATATCGCGCAGTATAAACGCATTCTGATATTGATTCAGTACACTATGAATGAGAGCCACATACCTGCACCTCCAAAAATTGATGATGGCTTCTCGTCTTTCTTCTCAGCACTAGAGGACCCTAAAATCTCATCATTCTCGAATGAAAAACTCAAGCAACGTCGTTCACAATGTAATTACCTATACTTCCAAACATTGAAAGCGGCTTTTCGTCCTTCTTTTCCGCACCAGTAGCTGTAGAGACACCACTTCGATTACACAAATGAATACTACAACGAATAAAAAATGAGGTCTACCTGCTGTCTCGGCTACAGAAGATTGTTTCTCTTCTTTCTTCTCTTCACTTGTAAGTGCTGAAAGTTTAAGGTGCTAAAATACAATAAAAGAGCAATTCACAAGTAAACTTGAATCGGAACAAACCTTTTGGTTCCAAAAATTGACAGTGGTTTCTCATCTTTCTTTTCGTCCAGCTTGAGCGTTCCAGCTCCACCTGTGCAATGACAAATTTCATAAATTACAAGCACATGAAAGTTTTTAACATGCCAATCAGCCCTGATACCAATGAAGCAAAGTTCTATGAACAAGCGCGCTCCCAAGAAGCAGTATAGGCGAGGACTGTCATAGACATCCAAAAGGAACTAAAACTGACCGAATAAGCTACCAAGATTTGAGGATGGTCCAAGCGGCTTTGCAGATGTCGCTGAAGAGAAGTACTACTCCGAAAGCAAATGAAGTAAACAAAAACATGATCAACAACGAGTTTCAAATCAAATAGAGAAGAGAACCGCACCAAACAGCGACTTCGACGCTACCGGAGTCGTAGTAGTAGCAGTAGTAGTAGAAGCAGCAGTTGCACTGGTAGTGGCTAAATTTGTTCACTCAGTAGATGTAGAAGGGAACAAAGAATAGCGCCTTTCGCACACTTCACAACAACTACATCCCCTAAATTTTTTTTGTAACCCCACAGAGAAGAAATGAAGAATCGTAATTGCACTGCGACGAGATGAGGAATACATGATGAAGCCTTCGACCGTGATCATTCTCATTCGCTTTTGGGCGTGCTCTACGCAGTTTACTTTCCAACGAAGTCGTCATGAAATTCCAACAAAACTCACACAATACACCAAAAATGGAATTCGTCGAGGGAGCAGTGTCAGCTTTTGCAAGAGATGTACCTGAACAAGACATGCCTATTCTACATAAAATCAAAAAATCCCAAAGGTGTGTCTTACTTTGACCCTCCTTCTGTTCTTTGGCACCACTGAAAGACAGCTTTTCGGATGAGTCCTTCACGAGAGGAGAGTCCCCTGCCTTGCTTTGGCCCTATAACGTGTGAATTTCGCTTATACTACAGTGTACTGTAATCTCATTAGAACTTGCAGGCACATGACATAAAGAACGTTACCGTAGTGAAATTAAATGTTGGTAGAGTCGTTTTTCCTGTGGAAGTTATGCTGGTACCTGAATAAATCATCTTTATTACGCAATCCAAGATTTCTTGAAGGTGCTTCATTATGATAATCGCTGTTGGACGCCGCAACTCGCGCTCCGAAGTTATCACAAGAATGCTGAGTTATGGGCAAAAGTCGGCACCAGTCGGGACTCGAACCCGCACCTCACGCTTACCGGGAGAATACGCAATCCATTACACAAAATACTGGCAAAAAGGCGTTGAGCTGAGAGAGAAAAGCGCCACAGATGGCGCACTTGCCCAATAAGCGTGAGATGCATGTTCGAGCCTCGCCTGGAGCTCACTTTTATAAATAACACAGCATTTTTTTTAAAAAGCAAAATTTGATGTAAGGACTAATCAACTAACCAGAGGGTTTCTTATCGCCGATTAAACTGACACTTGCAGAAGTTGTCTTGGGAGCATCAGGTTTTGTTGGGAAAGAGGATACAGGCACTGCAAGCCGAAATGCATTGTCATTCTTATTTCATCAATAACATCTTACTGGTGGGTGAACTTCTTGAATAAGTACTTACAGCTCGGTGCCGCAGCTGACTTCGATGGAGCTTGTGCAGGAGCGTCCGCCTGAGTACTGACATTTCGTGTTGACAGCACGGGCTTGACTCTCGCGGGTGAAGTTATCTGAACAGGAAGGAAATCATTCCCTAATAATGCTATGAACTTCGACCACATTTATGGTTCCTGTATATCACCAATGTCACGGTAACTTAGCGGCAGCTGAATATGAATTGAGATATTCTCGGAGTTTTCATTCAAAGAAGTTTCAATTCGTCACATTGCACTGCCATAAAATGGTCATCTGATTGGGGCCCTAACTGCATCCGTCGAGCCGCCAGTGCACATCCTGAAAGCGGTGGGGTGTATGCTATGCGGGTGGTGCCCACCGCTCACACCGGACCTGTATCAAATCGACCCCGTTTCCGTTGAACAAACTCACCTCCAGCTGGTACGATTTTTTTTTTTACCAGAACTTGCCTGATTGTGACTGGATAAAAAACGGACTTGTATAATGGCTGACCTGCAAGCCCATTATGTGGGCTAAATCTCATTCAAAATGCCACTAAGATTTGGTTGGCAGAAGTGGATGCTATGCTGCATTGTACTGTACTGTGCTGTACAGAAGTGAAATGCATGACGCATCTGGACGGGGAACAAGAGACGCCAAGAACATCACCCTTATTTTGTAGGGCACTTGAAGTCGCTATAGAACATTTCAAGAAGCTGCTAAAAAACGAAGCCCCACTCATAAACATTCCCATTAGCAAGTCGTGAAAAGTGAAACTTGGAATCCTCAGTCTCAGCGATCGTACAAATTGACCATTCCTTACCTTCTGCGTCAAACTGTTTTCAATATTGCTAGCATTGAGGAAAGATGAACTCAAGGTGTCATCGCTCGGTGCACTGTCGAAATGAAGAGCTTCCAACTTCTTGATAGTTGCCTTGACATCTTTCTAAAAACGTAAAACAAAGCTGAAAATTGGGTAGATTTCAGCATAGTACAGGAGGACGTCCCCAATTTTAGCGAATCCGCACCGTATCACGGTTATAGAGAAACGGTTAAAGTAACAAATAACCTGCAAGGGTGATGTGTTCCTCACCTTCGAGCTCAAGTATCTCAGCAGCATCGATCTCATTTCAGGTTTCGATGCACCACGATCCAGTTTCAAAGGTTTTGGATATGTATAGCTGAACACAGCAGATGGAACCTCTCCTATGGCGGTCGAATTCATCGTTTGCTTTGAAGCAGAATGTTCTTTTCTGTTGTTGAACCTAAAAGTGAAAATTTATTCCGTTGCACTTCTCCTTATACTTAAATGCTTTTATTGAAGACACATTCCACGGCTATCTAAAGGACATGACCTCTTTCTAGTTCAAGTAGAACTCCGATCTGCAATCTCGTGATTATGTTATCGAAATAGGCGTTGCCGGCGGGATGACGTAAGCAGCATCCGCACCAGGACCCAACCTGTTCAACATGGCAGCGGCGCTGTGCTCGAGTCTATCCCCCAAATCAACTCGAAGTGCGATGCCGCGAGTGGTAAAAAACGCTCCACACTCCAGTTTCAGAAGCTGCCCCACTTTTGAGGCTCGACGATGAGTGACGGGGCGCTGCTGCCATCGTGACGGTACGACGGTACTCCTCTCCTAGAAAGCATCACACCCCTGGAGACGAGGTTTGCCGGCGGTCCTCAATCTAGGAACACAAATGTGTCGAGATTCGTTCTGCATGGGACCGACCTGCGGTGCCCCTCACCTTCCAGCTTCCTCATGTTCATCTCCTCTTCCCCTTGTCTCTGGTACCTTGAGATAAGAACCAATCCTGGGGTCTTATTATGGGCGACTTCAACTGTATTGTCCTGTCTTTTCCTCATTTTTAGTTCAACTAGCATCTTGAACTCATATTTAGTCCTCCAAATCTCACAAGTTTCCTACTGCGGAATGTGCCTTCAAAGTAGTGGGATAGGTATATTAAAAGGAACATACTCCGGTCGCGAGGTCAGATATAAAACCTTCCTCTCCAGTTCATCGATGCGTAATCGCACCGCAGATGAATAACGTGACAAGTTCTTCATGCTCTCATATATACGGCCTTCAAATTTCGGATCAAACTGATTCACACGTCTAGGCTTACAAGTTGCCTGCAAACAATCATTTCAGGGAATCCAAGAGATCTCAGACTTTAACCGCTCACAGAAATCTTTTTCGTATCCGCCAAGAGTTTCTTTGCTTCGTGGAGCTTCAGGGCGAAATCCTCGTATTTTTGTAGAACTCGCTCAGATTCAAGCCTCTATAACATGAACTGTACAAACATATAGTCAATTAAGCCTCTATAACAGACCTAACAAAATGCCGCTCAAAGAGAAATATAACCTTTAACTAAAGAACACACCTCCAACCCACCCACAGCAGGCCCGAAAACTAGCTGCGAACTTTCGCATTCCTTTGCAAGTGCCATTCTTTCCTCAACGGAGGTTTTTCTTTCTGAAAATCATTTCATAGACAGCTGACTCGACACACTACAGCAGATTCATTACAAACCTGGTCTTATTGCGAACAGTGCACACGCGACGCCAAACCGACACCGTTCGCTGCCGTGAACAGGGTACAGCATCGTTGTGTGAAACAAATGGGTCGTACTATTTCTCTGGGGAGGGGGTTCGTATCCGGGCGTTGGAGAGTGAGTGTATGCGCCTTTGATGCATAATCTGTCCGATTGGTGTTCCGGTTGTTGACTTTTGCGTATATTTTTACCTTATCAGTCCACGGATGTACCCCCCCCTTTCCCCACGCCGACAGCATAATTCTGGCGTAAAAAAACCGAAAAATGAGGACAATTGTTAGGGTATGTATTGGAGAAGGTGGATAGGTCATCGCAGACCCTCATTTAGCTAGGGGATCCTACTGACACCCTCTCTCGGAAGGGGGGGGGGGGGGTCGTACCTACACCACCACCTCACAATCACGATGTTTTGCCCTGGTCGCGAATCTCCCAGCGGACGCCCAGTTTGTTGAAACCGTCCAAAGATGGGGATGCAAAATCTGTACTTACCATGCCTAACATAGCCAACATATCTTGCATATCATCATCCAGTTGGATCACCATTCGCTCAATGTCCTCAACTGTCTCCAAATTATCCGCGTGACTGAGAGAGTTCACTGAAAGACTGTTATTCAAGTTTCGAGTTTATCAGAGCGGTTCAGCACTTCAAACTCCGCAATGTTATGGTAGTGATATTGAGGGGCCGTCTCCCAGTTCCGCCCCCTCCATCCTCAGTATGCAGCAATTGCATCATACCAAAGCCCAGCACCGAAACAAGCACGCAGCGTGAGTAGAGAGGTATCCAGAAATGATCTGAGCGCAAACAAGTAGCGTTGCTTTAGCTATGGTTAGCGCGTGTGGCAGCTAGGTTGAAGTCGAGAGACAGCACCCCTGTGTCCCCTCCTCCCTCCAGCCTCGTTCCAGTGCACTTTTGAGCTGAGAAAGTAGCACACTAGCTGCGGACCCATTCATCCCGCACAAGGACCTAAGTCCACAGAGGTGAGTGCACGGATTGTCTCCAAGGCACACAATACTTTCCAGAGTTTTCAGAAGAACTAGGTTCTGTGGTCACTGTCATTACAAAAGTAAACAAAACGCACTTGCTTCATCAACACTGCCTTCGACTTTTTGCATGTTAATGTAAAATGAGTGCAATTGCTCATGTAAACTGTGCCAGTCACTACTGAAGGTTTCTATCGATTTTTTAGCTGACGCTCGAGCTGCAGCAACAGCGCTTCTGGCAGCTTCTGCAGGATCAACAGCCTGAATTGGAATACTGTTACTACATAGGTATGAATGCCAAACAAGAAGTCTTCTCTGACCGGAACTCCATCCTGCTTCATGGGCGTTGCAGAAAGAGCTTTCTGATCTCCTGATGTCGTAGTTGAAATGGCGGGTTTCGCTTCGGGAGTGCGAAGACCAAGCCCAGCAGAGACTTTTCCAGCAGCTGGCAAACCTAATGCGAAAAGATAACACGAAGTATAAGTATAGTTTATAAAAGGTACCCAAAACACACCTGTTAGTGGAGTGGTTGCTGCCTGTACATTGCTAGCAGTTGGTGTGGTTTTTAGACCTTGGAAACCTGAGAACAAACTTCCTGTGAGTGGCTTCTGTTCTGGCACCGCTGCACTCACGGACATTCCCCCAGTAGCTGGAGAGCTTAGCGATGGTGTAGCTGAGGCACTGGTTGCAGATGGTTGAGCTTGAGCTGTTCCGGACATTCCGAATGCTGAAGCAAATGGCGTGGCAGCAGACGGCTGAGCTGACGGTTCAGTTTTCGTTGCGCCAAAGGCGCCAAAGAAAGAGGTAGTTTGCGGAGCAGCTACTGGCGGAGTCTGCTGTATAACGCTGGACGTGCCGGCGACAGCGTTCCCTTGACGAAGTCCATTTTTAATCTTTACTGACGTCGATAGCAGCAGGTACCCTGGAACTACTCAAAATTCATCAGGCTCTTTGCAGTGCCCAACATTTTTTTTTGATAAGGACTCCAAGACAACTAATCAACAAAAAGCCTAAAGAAGCGTGGTCATAGAGCACTCACACATTGCAATCAGGATAATCTTTCGACGGTGGAGCAAGTTGCAGCGAAATCACTGAACCGTCGCTGTACAAAACTACTACAATTGGAAGGCGTCGTGAAGATCCATCACCTAAATTCTGATAGCTAAATTTCGTTGAAGAGATGTGCTTGTATACAAATTATTCCAAATAGTAGCCAAAGATTTTGTTGCAATTGTAGCGCGTAACAGCGCGTCGACGCGCGTCATCTCGAACTCTAAACGTTGCCACCCAGCGTACATCATCGTTGAGCGAAGTCTACGGAGGTTGCGTTTGTGTCGCTCCAGGAAAAGGTTCAAGTTCAGCAGGAGAAAAAAATTCAAAACTGCTGATTTCTCCCGGTACGCGCGCTATGCTGAAAATTTCCAACGCCATACCGTTTCCTCGTTAGGAGTAAAGTGAATGATCACTCTTGAAAACCGGGTCGTTTTAGAGGCAAATGGGGTACGGGTCAAGATGAGCAGTGTAAGAAAGAACGATAAGCCTACCTGTGGTGACCATATTCTGGTTTGAAAGGTCTACTGCGACCCCTATTGCGAATTTTGCAGCGGACGGCTCGACTAATGCTGCTATACTTGCGCTTGTCCAAGCCTAAAAATGCTGAGTTCACTCAATTGTCCAAGGCTGAAATTTGTAAAGAACCTCACGTTATTTGCAGATTTGCATATCGCCAGCAGACCAGCTGAGCTAGGAGATACAATCAAAGCAATGTTCCAGTCCACCAGTAACCTTCTTGTTACCCCTAACGACGACTGGGGTGAGAAGTTCAACGGAGTCCATGACGGTGGCTTATCCTAAAGTTGCAAAGAAAAGTAATACAGCGCATGTGCGTCCGTCCTACTTCTGAATTTCTATCGATAACTAATATCGCTGTTTGGTTACAATTTGGTTAGTGGAGACTAGTACGCTATGGGGCAAGGTGGGTATTTTGTATGTTCTTGTGAACGTGCCAAACTATTCCGTGAATCTCGTCGATTCTCGTCAGGTCACAAAATGGTACCAGTATCGTTTTGTATACTACATATATAAGAACCAGGGGAGCAGAGTACTCGAGATTCAAGCCTCAGAAACACAATACCAACTAGCAGTCATACTCTTCGCGGCGGGTGATCCTGTTCTCATAAAATTGGAAACCGCTTTCTGCGCAGGGAAATGATTCAATCCAAACAAGAACTTACACCCCCCCCCTTCCCCCAATATCGGCTCGAATAAGATCCTTCCCGTGGTTCCCAAATCGTCCTCCAGTATGAAAAGGAATTAGTGAAATGGCGAGCAAACGGTCCCGATTCTGTTCCACAACTTCACCGGAGTTCAGGGACTAAAATATAGCTCACTATGTTTACAAACGTCCACGAGATGCCCCCTTCCCTTTCTGATCGGCGCCAATTGTTAGATAAGATAATCTTTGTACGCAGTTCGGCTTGGTGTGGGCAACAAATGGACCTCAGCAGAGCCTGTACATTCCAGCTTATGAAGATGTGAAAACTATTGGAACCGAGGTGGCTTCTCGTACCAATTCATTTCCTCACAGGAATGGGACCTGTTAGTCGATATATACTAGCAAAAGTACTAGCTGAAAGTGCAAAATGCCCATCCCAGGCCGAATAGCACTAAAGTGTGTAGTAAAGTCCTAAAATATCAGTTGAGCCGAACCTTTTTGATGCTCAACATGAATGATGCAATGCTTGTCATTTCAGCGTTAGAATAAGCCACTAGCCAGTCCGTGGTAGAAAGCCAACTCAAGTTGATCACCACCACATTTCCTGCATTTTCCGGTGCATTCGTTGTGCGAACGAGCTGAAAACGGTCACAACTGAAAGGCAATGGCAGGATGCTTGGGGGAGGGCATGCGGCTCCAATGCTATTGGTTGAAAGGCTGCGAGAGGACGTTTCGCCACATCCCACTTCACCCTTCCACCAATGACGTGGCAGCAACCGTACGCCTCCCAACATCTTGCCCACAGTCTTCGAGCGAATACGAAAACCGTCAATATAAAGAAATTATCAATGTTCACCTCAAGTTCTGGCTTCAGTTGATAGATTTTGCCGCGTACATCACCAACTACCAGTTGTTTTCCTTTAGGACTCCATGAAATCTCGCTGATGTTGGCCTCCAACTTTTTCTCGCCGACCATGCTGTACTTTGACGAATTCTAAAGCACCTCCGTGCAGCAGCTACAGCGCAATCATCGTAAATTGTGTAAACTGACTTGTAGATCAATTTTAATAACACTCAATGTCCTTTCACTGTCCGAAGCTGCAAACATATCAGCAACGGCTGGATTCCATTCAAACGCAAGTCCTTTAGACACCGAGTTACCAATTCGAACAGTTGATATAGGAAATGCCTTAATGAAAATATATACTTCTTTTTGAGAAGAAATGTCAAAGTGGGGACCACGAACCTCGCCAGGAACATCAGCAGACAGCGTTAGAACATCAAAAATATTAACGAAGCAGCCCTGAGGGTTGTGGCCAAACACACCAAGCAACGTTTCATCAGCATTCAGTCCTATACTTACAATTTCGCTCTGAAAAAAATTATGGGAGAAGGTAGCATCGTAGCAGTCTCCAGCCAATAAAATCCTATGTACCTTTGAATCTAAGGTGGTAACTTTAGTTTGAATCTTGGCATCACCAACGATTCCACTCGCAGGCTGATGTAGCGCGGAGCTCCGGAAGGCGACAAGCTGAATGAAATATCTATTCTGAATGAATCATTGCTTTTCCAAAACTTAAAGGCGCCGAGGGCGGGTGGATGTCGCCAACATCTTCACTGGAAGCTGTATGTGGTGTAGCCAAACGCCTCCTACCCTTTCACCAGTCACACGCGCAACAAACCACCCCACCTCCAGAATCGGGTTCACTGCGATGAATGCCTCGCAATACCGCGGGAACTAAGACCCTTAATACAGTCGGGCTTCTACTAGGATCCTGGGTGAAGAATAGCCTGATTAGCTCCTACTGTCGACTGCTAGGTCGTCTCGATGATTGAATGTCACTGTGAGGGGCTTCTTTCACCGGTGAATCGCATGATGGCCTTTTCCAGGTTAGAACTTCGGCTGGGTGATAAAGAGTTACGGTCGAGTACTCGAGAATTGTTCTGAACCTTTCAGGCTACAAAAGCGATCTTGCCAAAACACACACTATTGTTTGCTACGGATGTCAAAAAGGATGCATAGCTGCACCAGCTCGTTTCTTTTCTTTTTTTTCTTTCCCATAGCGACAAGACTGTATCATACAGCTCGCACAAGACGTTGTCCAACAGTTGTTGTCACGATTCAGCAGCTGGTGGAGTAAGGGCTGGCGGCGCGCCAAACCCATTCCCTTTGGTCAAAACTGCAGACCATTGCTTGCTGGGCACCACATTGGTGGGAGGAAATGACGTAGTGGCGAGTGTTGCTTATCACTCACGCGAAGCGGCCCTGAGTTTAATCCCGATCGGCTCCCGCCTGAGCCAAACAATCTTTCAAACTTTTCGAAGCTGGTAAACTTGTACTGCTCGTCTGGGAGCAAAAACGCTCAGCAGTTATACAGGCTATGCCGCATTTCAATGCCTCTACAACCTTAAAACGAAATAGAATGCATGTCGCATCCAGACTGAATGAAGTAGCGAAAGGCTAATATCTAGGTAACAAACCTCATGATTGTTTGCTACAGCTACTGCGATGTGATACTTTGAAGCGACGACAAGCCGCTGTTGAAACCGAGTTGGGGAAGCAGGAGGCACAAATTCATGTAAACGAGGTAGTGTGTGCAGTGGTCGACACTGAAATGAAAACCATTACGAAGCAATCCAGTAAAAAAGTAACCGGCGCAGGTCAGCCGATGGGTGCTTGATAGTTCCTGTCAACTGCGGGGCCCACTTTGTGAGAACCTTAATAAGGCATCCACAGGAACCTTGGTGAGTCCAGCTC